GCTATTCAAAAACACCTACGCCCGAACTAGTTAGTTCGAGTTTCGGCAGACAACTATGAACATGTACTTTTTATTTTCATTTGAGTAATATTTCTTTGTGTTACTTCTTGTTAGTTTTGTCATGTAACTTTTTTTGTGTAGTGTTTGTGTTTAATTAAATTCCTTTTGTTAAATGTTAAAGTTTGTCTGGGTTAAATTTTACCAGTTTTGTTTAACAACTTTACAGCTAGCCGTGGTCACAATGCTACAGAAATAAAAAATAAAACAAATTCCAAATTTTGGCTTCCAGGTGCCCATGTTCGGTTGGAAACATACTTTATTCAAAACTGGATAGCTCTAGATACCTGTGTTTTATTGCAATGCGAGTAACATACACACATTTATGCAGATTCTTCATTATTTAATTTCTTTAAATATAATATAGGGCGATAATATTTGGTGGCAACAATTTGAAAAGTGAATTGGACATTTATAGTGAACCAACGCAAAATGCCAAAACAAAAATAATGGTCTTTCAGGGCAAGTTGGCCCTTTGGACTAATAATGCTTTGGTCTCCATACCTTGAACCATTGCAATGACCAGTCTACTGAAACCTTTTTTAAAAAAATCTGAAATAATCTTTATAATAAAAATAAATAGCAAATGGAATTTTCACAACTAAAGCATTTTTCAATATACCAACTAATGTAAAATATTTTGGGGTGAAAGTATTAAACAGATCTGTCTAGTGTGAAATAGAAGATTTATGTTTTATATTTGTGAAATGTAAATAAAATATATGCAAGCTGATGGCTAATGTATGAGTTATTTGGAGCTAAGGAATAAATTCATTATGCATAGTTGTTAGTATTCAGTTTAGTTTATGACTTATTTGGAGCTAAAGAATAGGTTCATTCGTAGTTGTTAGGATTCAATTTACACAAAAATTCTTTTTATAAAACCTATTAATTGACATTTTAAAATGAACACAATTTAGTATTTTGTAAGATGAGCTGTAGTTAGTTTCAAATGTTCTTGAAGAAAAAGTACCTTAGTTCTTAGTTTTACTTAATCATAAGTAGTTAGAAATTATATCAGAATTTTTGTTTTTAAAATGTTGGGGGGGGGGAGGTTATACACAGATATCATTCATGCCTTGTCATTTGTTCATTGTCATTCATGTTCTGGGAATACTGCTGAATTTATAAATAATGGTGGGATACTCGAGTTTCTGAGCAAGAAGTGAAACATAAGTATTTCGAAGTTATTTCATTTTTTAATAATGAAAAGCTCTCAAACAACTTTCCGCTTTTGGGGATGTGAATTCTTTTATTAAATGGTTCTAAATTTGACAACTCATCAACAATTTGGCAATTTTAAGATCGGTTTCTATAGAAAATTTTTAATTCTGAGATCTGGGAATTTTTTGACGATTTTTTGGAACATTCTAACATTACTAAATTTCATTAAAATAATGGTAATATATTGGAATTATTTTTAAGAAGTGACATTAAAATAAAGCATTTTTATTTTTCACTGTCATATTATAAAGTTGTTTTGAATCTGAAAAATAAGCAAGGTATAATGCTATAAAGCACAATTTACAAAATAGTTTTTAGCAAAAGCAAAATAACTATGTATTGAATTAAAAATGTCTTTTTAATGATAAGAATTTTTTGCATTTCTCAGAATGTTCAGAATTCTCAAAATATGCATCAGTTTTCTCTATAAAATTAATTTTACACTTTTTCCCTCCAATTTTTTTTTAAAACATGTCTGCCTTTTTGCTATTACAGAATTGGTAAGGGTAATTTTTCTCTATGATTTTTGACATTGCAACTTGGAAAGTTTAGAAAGATTAAAGGCAAATTTATAGATCCACAATTCTAAAAGATTCCTGAAAAATGTCTCCATGGTAGTAACACGCAATTTCTTACTTTTTGGAGAACATCTGGAAGAACAATGAAAACATAATAATTGAATGTTTTACTTCTGATACTAGAATCACTTTCTTAACATTTTTATCTTCCCTTTATTTTCTCTACTTTTCACTAGACTCAAGCATGGGAAATACATCAAATGCTTCTAATCTTATCATATGGACATGCATTATAAAAAGGAATTTTTTTATTAATAAAGAAATTGAAAACTGGCAATTCAAAAGATTCATCTATTATGTCTTAATGCATCATACACAAGGCTGGCGCTAGGCATTTTGCCACCTAACGCACTCTCTGTGGATCCTAAATTCTGTTGCCTGGTGCCATTTTAGATTCCAATGCCTGCTCTAAATTCTAAAAATTATGCCACACCAGCTCTGTCACCGAACCTTACCATATGTATTTCATATTTCTTCTGAATGTTTGTATTACTAAAGAAATAAAATGAGCAGCTTTTTCCATACATTCTAAATGCATTTCGTCTTTTAAAATAACAGAAATCTTTAATTAAATCCGAAAATTTTAAAGTGAAAAGGTAATGTGTTGAAGAAAGGAACTAAATATATGAAGAGAAAGAAAATTATTCTTTAAAGATATGTACAATTATTATTATGTAAATTACCCAGTTGTTTACAATTTCAGCCTTTACTATAATTTTCCCATTTCTATTTCCTCACTAGAATGCAATCACTTAGACAGTTTTTAACTGAGGTTTTTGGAGTGTAAGACGAGTGTGTTTCTGTCCTCCACTTGCTCCCTACATTAGTTCCTGTCAACTCTGATAATTTGTAATTATTTGTCTTTGCATTATCACTGCTGACATTTGAGTTTATTATGACGATAGAGTTACTGAACCAGATTAAATTGAAATTAAATTGTGTAGTCTTTGACCACTAGTCTATATTTTTAGTTTGACTCTTCTTGTTTAATTACATCACCTTGAGCTGTTATCGGTTTTTTAGCATAAGAATATGCCTTTATGTTCTAAGTTCTTTTAATATAAGAAACTATTTTTAAACCTTTGATTTATAGTTACTTTCAGACATAGCGATAATTTGTTTCGCATCTGTCGGGGGTGGGTTGGACTATTTAACTTTTACCAGATCAAGTAAACCCTCATAAATAGTACATTGTGGAGAGGTTGGCAGTTAGGAGATAAAACACACAGAAACTAATGAGAACATTGTTTTGTGTATTGAGACAAATTTCTAATTGTTAGAAAAGATGCTTAAGGAGAAGGAAATCGATATAAATTAGCCAAAATATCTGGACAGGCCTTCAAATTAAAAAGACGAATAATTATTTTGTTGAGTTTTGTTGCTATAAAACATAAATGTTTTGTAGCTTTTAATGTGTTTTCTAATATTGTTTAAAAATCAGTGTCATAAATTGCATGAATTTTAAACTGTGAAATTCTGTTAAATTGTAATATTAATAGGGGTTTTTTAACAAATATTATTAAAAAATAAATTTAATTTAAAAGTGGCCATGTAAATCCATAATGACTAAGGTTATCTAATACCTAATTTAATTACTTATAACTAGGTGCTTACCCTTAAAAATTATCTCTGCCTATTAAAGCGATCTATTATTGCCTTTCATTAACCTTTGCCGTAGTCACAAGGTAAAATACAGAAATATAAAAATTAATGTAAGACTTATTCTTTACATCTAGTAAGACTTAAAATAATGCAAAACAACTTATCACCTATAGTGTTTTAGTGGCTTAATAGAACCTTAAAGTATATTCACTGAGTTCCAGGGGGTGTAGCTGATTGTCAGACAGAGCTCAGCTAACTTTCAAAACTTGCTAACTGTAAAGTACATCAGGCATTTCAGGTTTGTTCTGATCAGCAGGTCTCTCTCTAGGCAAGGAGGAGCGGTGACAACAGCCCGTCTTTTGTAATGAATCATGCTGATTATGATTTTAATGCTCATTTTAATCTATGCTGCTTGACATAAAATCTACTTACTATTTACTAAACCTCTAGACTGATCAAGTATGTGACAAAATGAGACATTGAAAAAAAAAAAAAAAAAAAAAAAAAAACTTGACTGTTAGTAACTAAAGCGTAACTAAAATATCGCTTATCTTCTTTCAAATATGTCCAGTTATTATAAGTGTAAAATATGTAATAATGCTACTTGATAAATTTAATATTTATTTTATTCTCGAACATATTAATAATTATGTTAATTATGTATAATAATAACGCATCATACTTACGGATCTCTTTTATTTTTAGGATGGTATTAAAAAGTGAAGTTCAGGCATAGATATATTGTTTTTAATTGAATTTATTCAGGTCCCATTTGCTCATAAACTAAAACTCAATGGTGTAACAGCCCTAGTGGGCCAATGCCTGCAGTGCCTCGAAATCTGCTTTCTTAACCATGGGCCCCGGGGTGCATAAGCATATGGTCTGAACAAGTGATGAGCTTGTCTCAGAACTCACAGTGTTTAGTCCCCAGGCGAACTTGGTACTCATTTTATCGATTCAAAGGATGGAAATCAAGGGATGAAAGGCTGAGTCGACCTTGCCCAGACTGGAAATCGAACCCTGGACCTGTGGTGCTGCTGTGGGATGCGCTAGCCACTGCACCACTGGGCATCTTCTTTGCTCATAGGTCCTTAATTTTTTTCATTAATGGTCCTTAAAAGGTACTTAATTTCAGTGTGCAGAAATGTGTTCGAACCCTGAAAATTTAACAAATTTTTTATTAACAAACTCAGCAATTTCAAAGAAAACTGTATAGGAAAAAAACACATTTTATCTCCAGCACGCGAAATTGTGTATTGGAAATTCTAAAGATATGCTGTTTTTAAATTATTTTGTGATATTACTGTTGAATTGAATTTTATGGTTTAAATGCGAAGAACTTGATATTTAATAAATTAAGTAACACACAAAACATTAAAAAAAGCCCCTTTGGACGTAATGTAAAATCTGAAAACTCTCAGATTTTTTTCCTTGTATATTATATAATTTTAATTTTTTATTTATTTTATATAATTTTTTTATTATTAGATTAATTATGACAAAGATTTTAGCATAATTTTTAAGCATAATTTCCCCCAGGAATTGCAGATGATTTGCTATACAGTGGAGATTTAGGGCCTTCTATTGCTCCGTCATCTGTACCAACTATTACTGCTACTGTGTTACCTGAATTGCCTACAGTTGTGCCTGAAAGTCCTCAAGATTCCATATCAACAAAAGTGCCCAATACATCAACTGTTTCTGGTCTGATTAATACAACCTCTGAAAGTGTTACAACTGCACCACCGCTACCTCCTCCTCCACCACCACCTCCTCCTCCTCCTCCTCCACCACCTCCTCCACTGCCTGCAACGTCTGGTCCATCAGCAATTCCTTCTGAAAGTAGTTCAGCTGCAGAACCTGAGAAGCCAAGTCCAGTTGTTGGAGCACCAGAAGCAGTTGTGAATCCCGGTGATGCAAGAGCTAATTTATTGGAATCCATTAGACGTGCTGGAGGAAGTGGAAAGGCCAAATTAAAAAGTGTCACTGATAGGAAGATAGAAGCTAAGAAAAAGAAAGAGGTTTGCTTGTTTTGTCTCAGTGTATAATTTAAACTTTCAAAAATTGATTTTTGTTGTGTATCATAACTGCCAACTCATCTATCTAGGTTTATCAGGAGACTCAGATGGTAGACAGTTTTTCACCTCATCTCCCAGTATCCCATTAGGTCATCAAATCTCCTGACATTGTAATTTTTAGATTGACTAAGGAAAATATTTTCCAATAATAAGTGAAATTTATTGCATTGATTAAATTTAAATTGTGCAGTCTTTTGTGAGTTTCAACTTAATTACAATACTATGTTCTATTTGATGTGAATTGTCTTAGTCAGTGTCCACACTTGTGGAACTTTTTATGAATTTTAAACGAATATTTAATTATTTACCTTTTTTAATTTTGTTTTACATCAATACATTTCTAAGTTTTCTATCTTTATGATGAGATATGTTAAATTAATAATTAATACTTATAATAATTATTAATTTTTAATCATATTTAAAAATTCTTGAATAAATAAAAGCTCTGTCTTCCTACTCAGGACTTTTCTCAATACAGAAGTGTAAAAGAAATTACAAAATGATATTAGCAACATAAAATTTAAAGTATCTTGTTAAATATGAAAGTATTTTACATCAGAAGCATATTATGAATAGTTTAATATCTGAATCATGCATTATAAAGTGAATTTAAGTTAATTTGAAATTTTTCTAAATGGCCTCACAGTACAGTGTAAAACTCTTCCGGAAACTTCTGCTTTCATGATAGAATTTGCTTGTTTTTCATTTTTCAAAGTGAGCAGCTATGTTTTTTTTTTTTTTTTTTTTTTTTTTTTTTTTTTTTTGTGTGTGTGTGTGTGTGTGTGTGTGTGTAAATAAGATGAGTTTTGTAGGATTGTGATTACAATGAGTTGTGGATTTAGACAAGTACAGGTAAAACCTGGCCAGCACTCTGTGGTACTGTAAGTGACTGATGAATTGCTGTACTTAGCTAATTGTTAAACCTCCACTCCAGTTTGGAATTTTGAGAGAAACCCCATACACCATTTATGGGGCTTCTGATATAAGGTATAAGCAAGCAGAATATTTGCCCTCTCAATACAAAAACCATCAAGCACTGACAAACACTTTTGTAGTGTACTCAGAGGTTGCCAATCCGTTAATCACATTGTTTTCCAATATAGAAAAATACATCTTTGCATTCATATGCTACAACTTGAGCTAAGTTTTGAATACATAGAATAATTTTGTAAATTTGTGACTAAATGAGATATGTTAGAATGCCCTTGCTAGTTCAATATATGAGGAGTGACAAAGAAAAAAAATAAGAGACTGTGTAGCTTGAAAAAAGAGTGGAGTTGGCAACAACTGTTTTGGTTTCATCATCCCACACACCTCCACACACCTACTACATTGAAGTTCTAAAAAAACTTCGTGAAAAAAATTAGGAAAAAAAAGGCCACAGTTGTGGAGTAATGGATGGTTGTTGCATCAGGACAATGCACACCCTCACATGGCCTATCCGTCAAACAGTTTCTGACCAACAAAAACATTACTGTGATGAGGCATCCTCCTTATTCACCTGATTTGACTTCATATGACTTTTTCTTTTATTTCCCAAGGTTAAATCTTGCTTAAAAGGAACCCGTTTTACCTCAGTTGAAGAGGTTCAGGCAAAAATGGAGAAGCTACTGAAGGGCCTTCCAAAAAGCTTGTTCCAGAACTGTTACCAGCAATGGCAGCACCAAATGCAGAAGTGTGTGAATGTTGAAGGTGATAATGTCATGGAGAACTAATTCTGTCGAGTACAAGGATTTATTGGACCAGTCTCTCATCTTTTTTGTGTGTGTGTGCGTGCGTGCGTGTGCGTGCGTGTGTGTGTCAGTCACACAAGTTGCTGACACATGAATAAGTACAAGGGCATAGAGTTTTCATATAATACATCTCAGATATGAAACAGTTATCCGTTTCATAGTATTATGATGATTTAGTGATACCAGAGGAGTAGAGTTCAGACTTTCATAGCCAGAGCCTGATTTTTACTTGATAAGACCATAAACTATTTGAGGTATGGGGCCCTTTATAAGTCTGTTATAATTTAATACTATTTATACTATTTATACTATACAGTACAAAGTCCGTAATCCGGACGGACGTCCATTATCCGGAATGATCTATAATCCAGCCCTCAAAGCCACAAACTTATGCTTACGCGTAAAGCGTTTACGCATGCACGTTTGATGTGCGCATCCGTTACGCATGCGTGCAAAGCCAGTAAAGCATTTCCACATGTGTGCTTCCGATAGTGAAGAAAGTGGCAGAGAGCTTATTGAAAACGAAAAAATTTCAATTGACAAGTTAGTCGGTATTCTCGACACAGCAATTACAGGATTTGAACTTTGTAACTGAACAAGAAATTATGTCTGTTTATAGAAGAGAGAATTAAAGAGAAAGTATTAGTACAAAAACGAAGCAACTTAAACAACTTACATTGAAAGAAATGTTTAAAAAAGTAAATAAATAAGTTTTTTTTTTTTTTTTTTTTTTTTTTTTTTTTTTTAAATTTTGATGTATTTTAGATCATAATTGCTCTTTATTTCATAAATTACGGTTTCATATTTTTAATTGTATAATTTCTGTATGCCATCTTACCAAATTTAAATTGATGATCTATTATCCGGAATTGCCGAAGTCCCGATGAGTCCGGATTAAGGACTTTGTACTCTATTTTAATTTTAACTATAACTTGTGTAGCTTATACGTAAATCCGGCCCTGTCTTTAGCATATTCAGAGCAAGTGTAAAGAAAACTATACAACAGCCATTACTACATTAGAGTGCTTAAATCTTTTAAATCAAAGTTCTAGTATTGACAGTTTATAAAATAAGGTAGTGCTCTTACATACATTCCCCCTGTATATAATTACATCATTAAATATAGATAAGAATGAGATTATTCATAGAAATAAATCCACTAAATGTTATATCACAATATGCACATTACAACAGATAATTATACAGCAACCATATACATACAACAATAGCAATACTAAACTTATTACCACCATGTATAAATATCAACTCGCTTAATGCCATACACAATACATATTACACTGAATAATTTTTACAGTAATGAGCCAATACAACGAATTAATAAGGCTACAGTGTGAAATTAAACCTCTGCATTAAATTAGATTATTATGTGCTGTTCATAAACACCAAGTAACATAAGACAAAACAATATACAGAACACAAAATCAATGTACCTGCATACATGCAGTGTGACTATTAACAGTTGTTACAATGCCATGCGGTTACATTAATATGATAAAATATTGTGTGCATACAGGTTCGTAGTGGATTGAAGTTCGTAGTGTTCGTAGTAGTGGTGCGCAATGAACTGGAAGTTGATCTGTCAGCACTATCTTCAGGGCAGATGTTTTTATTTTATTCAGCTTATAATTCCTTACTAAATGCAGTATTTCATCTTGATGTACTCTGATATGATTTAAATCAAATTCCTCATCATTATAAATATCACGAATACACATCAAATAGTTTTCGGGTTGCAATTTTCTAATTTCGACTATGCATAATGTATGCTTTACGCATGCACGCGTTGAAAGAAATGTATAATAAAGTAAACAAATACAGTCAAAAGTCTTTAATTCGGACACCCATAATCTGGAACGATCTATAATGTGGACCTCAAAGCTACAAACTTTCTGCGCATGCATCGCGTTGACGCATGCACATAGGCGTTTACGTGTGCATGTGCAGACCTTTACGGCTGCGAATATGCGTGTGTGCATGCGCATAATACGTTTACGCATCCTCGTTTAATGTATAACGGACGGTATAAGCTAAGCTAAAATTATCTAATTCAGTTAATGTTGCAGATTGCGTTGTTCCTTAATCTTCGAATTGGATCCGGCTTATTATTTTTTGCAGACTGTTAGAGCAATTTTATAAAAGTAAGCTTGAACTTTCGATTATGTCAAATAGAATTTCCGATATATATTTACTAATATGTAAAGGATCTACAAAGCGAAAGTATGTTTCGAAGTCCATTAAACAGAAAGTGGAATTGCTACAAAAAATGGATAAAGGCATGTCCTTTGATCATCTAATCATTCCGAAATATGTTTATCAATTTCACGCTGCTCTGCGGGGGGAGGGAAACGACGCGGCGCGCAATGAATTGGAAGTTGATCTGTCAGCACTATCCTTATCTTCAGGGCAGATGTTTTTATTTTATTTGGCTTATAATTCCTTACTAAATGTAGTATTTCATCTCGATGTACTCCGTCTTTGATATGATTTAAATCAAAGTTCCTCGTCATTATAATTCGCTTCCGATAGTGAAGAAAGTGACACAGAGGTTATTGAAAACGAAAACATTTCGATTGACAAATTAGTCGGTATTCTCGACACAGCAATTATAGGACTTGAACAGCGGAACTTTGTAACTAAACAAGAAATTATGTCTGTTTAATAGAATTAAAGAGAAAGTATTATCACATGAAACGAAGCAACTTAAACAACTTACATTGAAAGAAATGTTTAATAAAGTAAACAAATAAATATTAAGCTTCTTCTTTTTGTAAATTTTGATACCCTTTAAATCATAATTATTCTTTATTTCATAAATTACGGTTTCATATTTTTAATTTTATAATTTCTCCATGCCATCTTACCAGATTTAAACTGATGATCTATAATCCGGAAAAATCGATAATCCAGAATCGCCGAAGTCCCGACAAGTCCAGATTATCGACTTTTGACTGTAAATATTAAGCTTTTTTTCGTAAATTTTGATACCCTTTAGATCATAATTGCTCCTTATTTCATAAATTACGGTTTCATATTTTTAATGGTATAATTTCTGCATGCCATCTTAGCAAATTTAAACTGATGATATAATCTAGAAAACCGATAATCCGGAATCGCCAAAGTCCCGATGAGTCCAGAGTAAAGACTTTTGACTGTAGTAATACTTCCCTAAATGCAATACATAATTGTTAC